AAAAAAAGAAGACTGTCCCAATGTACATGCTTATGTCTTACGATGTGCTCTTTTGTCCAGGTGTGGTTACACTACAAGAGCCTCATTGTGTGGGGGGTTGACCTGGAGACACACCTGACTCCGGGTGACACCACGTGTGCCCGTAGAACTATGGGACGTAGGGGTTTCAAGGCTGTGACGTTGCGGAAGCTGACTGGCAGCCCAGTCCCCCATGAGTCCCCTGCACGTGTTCAAGTGAACAGCCCTTCATTTAGTGGTAAAGTGCTTAACCATCTAGCACTACTGTGATGGTCCTGACCAAGTGCCCGGCATTTCCTCTAGAGCAACGTACACACTGAATTCATAGTAGTCATTTATTATGAAAGATACAGATAGTAATGTGATCCCACTCGACTGGTTACAATGCATAGAGATTCTCTTTTATTTCATTGATTAACAATTTTATTGGCATACATTCACATATCACACCATTCAATGGTCAGTCACATGAAAAAGGGTTGTACAGATATCACCACCATCAGTTTAGAAGGGAATCGTCATTCCTGTCCTCATCGTTAGTAGGGCACTAGATTTGTGTGTGGTTTTGTTCTTGGTTATTTCCAGAGTTCATGAGCCCAAAGGTCCTGGCCCCATTCCCTTCCCACAGCTAGCTGGGGAAAATGAGGCAGGCAGGTCTTTTAGGTACAGTTCTTCTTTCAGAAGTGAGACTCAATGAGTACTATTTTTGGGAACAGACAAGAAAGAATGGAGAGAGGGTGCACAGAAGCGATAGTGTCCTGGATCAGCTATCCCAAGAAACAGAGATTACACCTGTGCAGTGAAGGGTTAAATTTTTAGGATTTCCTCGGCTTAATAAATGTAAAGAAAGTCTCTTAATGCGGTGGTAATGAAGCCATTATATCTTGTGTTGTGACGTAGTGAGCTAATCGGGCTCACACTCCAAGGTTTCAAGGACTCCAGCTTTGCAGGAGCCTCTCAGCCTCGAGTTTTCCATTGATGAGAGAATGGCAGCTTCGGGCCTGTCTGTGCAGTTTCTCACTTCAGGCCTTCTATGAATTGATCACATAGGTATAAAGCATTTTCTTTTCTTTCAAAAGATGGGCACTGTTTGCATGACTTTCAATTATTATTTTCTGTATTTATAAAATATTGTGCAAATCTTTTTGATGCAGGAAAAGTGTGAATCTAGTGAGGTACCTAGCCGTTATCAATGATCAAGTATATGATAAATCACTACTGGACTGCAGTCTCCAGGATTCCATAACAAGGGTTGTGCTGCATCTGAAAATGCCTACACAGAGGTGTGAACTGAAGCCATCTTCATCTCACTCAACACCAGGAAGTCACGAATCCCAGGGGAACAGCCCTGGAGGAAGCCCCGCCATCTTCTCTTGATATATTTTATCAAAGGCTTCACTTTGAGCCACCTTGAAGTGATGTTTCCAGTCCCCGGTAACTCCTGAAAAATACAAGAAATGGGTCGCAATCACATTTATAACGAGTCTCTGGAGGCATACTTTAAACTTCTGTCACTGTCCTTCATCCAATGTTTCCCAAACCCTGACCTGGGAGCTGCAGGAACTCTGTCTCCCTGACTTTGAACACGTAATCACAGAAGAGTAGTTGCTAGAATAGGGCATTGTGCTTAGTAAAATAGACGGTGAGGGGAAAGATAGGAAATCTTCCATGAAATGCCTCGACGCAATGGGTGCAACAATGTGAATCAATGTAGCTAAGATCATAAAGGTGGTGCAGGGCCAGGCAGCATTTCATTCTACTGGACATGAGATCACCATGAGTCAGAGCCAACAACCACAGTATAACTGAACAAACGCACATCTCCTGTCTGGATCAGATTACCAATGGTTCTAATCTCAGATTTTATGTTGCCTCTTCTATTTGATCCTTAAGTTGCTGTCTGTATTAAAGGGCTTTTCCTAGTGCTTGCCTTCTAATTATATTGTGATGACCATATAATAATGAGAGACCATTTTATACCAATAAATAAATGCAATATCTTGAATAGGCACTGCTCAAGAGAACAAAATAGATTAGTGGTTACCAGGGGTGGACCTGTTGCACAAGTTCTCTTCAGAGTATTGAAGAGCATGGGTGTTATTAAGGTGTATCTCACTCAAACCATGGTATTTTCCATTGCTTCATGAGCTTGTCAAACTTGGCCATTGAAGAAGAACTGATGCTTTGAACTGTGGTACTGGTGGAGAATTTTGAAAGTACCCAGGGCTGCTAAAAAGACAAACAAGTCTGTCTTGGGAGAAGTAAGACCAGAGTGGTCCTTAGGGGCAAGGGTGGAGAGACTTCATGTCCAGTACTATGGACATGCTGTCAGAAGAGACCAATCCTGGGAGAAGGACATCCTGCCTGGTCAAGCAGAGCAGCAGTGCAAAAGAGTAAGATCCTCACAAGCTGGATTGACACAGAGTCCGTAAACTTAGGCTCAAGCCTGGGAACGATTGTCAGGATGGCGCAGCATGGGGGCAGTGGTTTCTTCAGTTGTGTGTAGGTTTGCTATGGCTCAGAACAGACCCGATGTCTGCTAAGAACAACATGGTGGCTGAGAAGAAGGGGCAAAGGAAGACACACTGTTAGGGGGAATTTACCTTCCACCAAGTGTGATGTCAAACTCTGGGGTTGGTTGGGATAGTGGTTGAAGAATATAAAGAACATAATTTATGGCACTGAGCTGTATATGTTTAAGATTGTAGAAATGGCAACTTTTGTCTCACCACTATCCTTAGCACCAGGGATATAAGTTGGGTAGAAAGAATAACAACATTGGAACCAAAACTCTACTGCCAAAAAGCCAATTCCCGCTCAGATCAAACTTATACAGGGTTTCTGAGGATGGAGCTATTTACAAATCCAGATAGTCTCATGTTTCTCCTGGGGAGTAGCGGCTTGGTCTGAACCACTGACCTTATGGTTACAGTTCAATTCTTACTCAATAGAACCACCAGGGAGGTAACAAAAATGAGGACAACAATGGAGCGCTAGTGGCATTGTGGGTTTCAAGGTGGCCTGCTAACCCAAAACTGAGCAGTTAAAAGCCACCAATCACTCCGTGGGGGAAAGATGACACTTTCTACTCTCATATTACAATCCCAGAACCCCACAGGGGAAATTCTACCTTGTCCTAAAGGGTCCCTATGGGTTAGTTTTGACTCCATGTCAGTGCTTCTGCTTTTGCATACCATAGGGGTTCAAGTCACCTGTCTGTTTTTAAGAGTGAATCGTCCCTTTATCAAAATGTGAACAGACGCATCCCTTCTTCTACAGGGATAGGGGCCACACCTGCATGATGAGAGCAGAGCTTTTCTTGCCCTTCATCGATTGTTGTTATTCTTTCTAACTACACACTCTTCCTTTTATTCTGCTAACTATATATTTAACAGAACACCTGGCATACATACAAAAAGAAGATCAGAGAAGACTCTACAAGATGAAAATTATCTAGAAAATTGATGCTTTCATTAGTGGGACTCATTGAATGGCGGTAACTCATGGCAACCCAGTGTGTGCCAGGTAAGATTGTACTTCACAGGGTTCTCAACGCTGCGAACTTTGAGAAGCAGATCATAAGGCCTGTCTTAAGGAGGGGCCTCGGGATCAATTCAAATCAGCAAACTTTGGTTAGTAGATGAGGGTGTAACCATGTGTGACACTCAAGAAATCAGTCAGAGACTCAACAATGACCCCAGGAGATAGACTCATCCATCAGACTTTGTTGTGCTAAGTCTTCTTTTTCAGCTCTGAATTCCCCAAATCGTTCCTTCAGCTTTTGGAATTTTGAGGACCCTTTAGTGATTTATACACCTCAAATCCTTCCCTTTCCCAATACTTTGCACAATTATAGAAGCAAGGTTATTAGTTATCTGCTTTTTCATGTTCTATATTCAGAATATTGTATCTTACCTTTTCTGAGTAATTGCCCTTGGCTATGATCCATAATGGTGTCTGGTACGAGGGTGAAATTGCTCATTTTATTATCTCTCATGGCCTTAAAGGATGCATGCTTCAGCACTGAGGCGACTTCTTCAGGGCTAAGCTTTTTCCCCAAGAACTGAATGATCTTCTCTACAGTGGCTCTTAGGTCCTAGGGTAAAAAAATATGAGCGACAATGTGAAAGTTAAATACAATAGGCTAAGAAGACAGAGACACGATGAACAGTGAATATGAAAAGGATGAACAATACTAGAAACAGAGAGAGGATAAGATGGTTGTACTAATCTGAAATATGATCCAAATTGGATGCAAAGAAGTGTGGGAGTGTAGAACTATGTAGAACAGGAGGAACGGGGAGCTGGTACAAAGTGGGCAGACAATACCATTCATCATGAAATCCCTCTATCAACAATGTCCTGAGAAAACAAGTGACTCAGGAGTAGAAATCAGT